TTTTTCTGCTTATGTGTTGCTGAGGAATTGAACCCAGGGCATCATGCATGCAAGGCAAGCACTCTACCACTGAGCCACCTTCCCAGCTCCTATTTTTTTTTAATTGGTCAAATCAGTCATGGGACTTGAACTCTGGGCCTAGGAGTCGACCCTCAGCTCAAGGCTAGCGCTCTACCACTTGAGCCACAGCACCACTTCGGTTTTCTGGTGGTTTATTGGAGATAAGAGTCTCATGGACTTTCCTTCTTGGGCTGGCTTTAAACCATGATCCTCAGGTCTCAGCTTCTTGAATAGCTAGGATTACAGCTCTGAGCACTAGTGCCCAGCAACAATCTCATTTTAGGTATTATTATCTCCATCTTGAATCAAAGACTTTCTCAGTCCAGAATCACTCAAATACACAATTGTTAGAGAAGCCTAGAATGGAACTCTTCTTATAGACTCAACAATCTATGCTTTTTTTTTGTTTGGTCTGGTTGTGGGACCTGAACTCTGGGCCTGGGCTCTGTCCCTCAGCTCTTTAGCTTAAGGCTAGCATTCTACCACTTAAGCCACAGTGGCATTTCTGGCTTTTTCTGCTTATGTGCTACTGCTTATGAGGAATTGAACCCAGGGCCTCATGCATGCAAAGCAAGAACTCTGCCACTGAGCCACCTTCCCAGCCCAATCTATGCTTTCTTGCATAGATTAGTATATCCAACTTACTTTCAATATCAACTTTATTTATTCATACTATTCAGACTATAGAAAAATAATTGAAATTATATCAGTGACAAAAGAACAGGGTTAAGGCAAATATAACATTTTTGTTGTTGGTGGTGGTGGTAGGGCTTGAACTCTGGGCCTGAGCACTGTCCCTCAGCTCTTCAGCTCAAGGCAAGCGCTCTACCACTTGAGTTACAGCGCCACTTCCAGTTTTCTAGTGGTTTATTGGAGATAAAAGTTTCACGGACTTTCCTGCCCAGGCTGGCATATTTTTTTTGGGGGGGCATCTGGTCGT